ACAGTTGGCAAAAATAATAACTATCACTAATATCAGTTCAGAATACTAAATCGAAAGGCCCTCATAAAACCATGAACTGTCATTAGATGTCATTTGTCATACAACGTTCATAACCTAATAAGCAAACAACCCAGTCAAGTTTATCTACACTCGTAAATATGGCTGAAGAAACTAGAAAATCCCTGCAAGATTTGCTGACCAAAGTTAATGGCCTCTATTGTATACTCATCACAGACCGAGACGGCGTACCTCTACTTAAAGTGAGCTCCGATAAAGTCCCTGACCAGGCAACAAGACCTAATATTATTTCAACTTTTGGACTGGCAGTCGACCAAGGTAGTAAACTAGGATTAGGGAAAACCAGCACTCTTATCTGTTCTTACTCCCAATACCAAGTTATTCAGATGAATAGATTACCACTCATCGTCACGTTCATCACCAGCGATTCGTGTAACACCGGACACATATTTGAATTGGAAAAGCAACTGAATCCAATCATATCTGAACTAAATTTAGCTGTAGCAGAGTCTTAGTAAATTAAGCACATACTAATAATGTAGCTTTTATTAAACAGTATAAAATATATAATATTAAAATAATTATTGTCTAACTAGTATTACAGGGAAATTATTCGTTATTAAATGCTCATTTTCAAATACCACTACGATGTTCACCTCGAACTCTAAAACAGAATAACATCATTAAAAAAAAATACAATTACCTACAATTTAATTTAATCTACTGTAATTTTCCTCAAGTATAATTATGATTTTTAAATTGTTAAATGAATAGTAATATTTTATTGTTAAATATAAGCACCAATTTTTTGTAATACATTTTTTATGGTCTACAAATTATAACTTTGATTTATTTATATAATAAACAACTAACACAGGATATTACTTAAAAAAAATACCAACCTATTTTAAAATTATTTGTAATTAAAGTAGGGCAAGTGAAGAGCCTTGGAAAAATCATATAAATTGGTATCGGAATATTTTTTGGAACATCTCCATCCCCTATCTGAATGTTCTGTATCTCGGTTGCTACAAAATTACTGAGTATGGTTATGTACAATGCATTTATAACAAATACCTTCTCGTGCATATCCTTCGGCGCATCCACACGTTTCAACCCTTACAAGCTGCAGCTCTATGGACCGTACTGGTACAGCACAACGAACTAGAATCAACTTTCCCTTAAACGGTTTTGTAATATTACAATACACAGTATCCAATTCCCCCTTTAAAAGAAATTCTGGAGCTCCTAAAAAATCAAATTAGTTACAATGTTTAGTGTACATGTTCTTAAGATGGTCCGTAAGTACCTGAAGCACCAGAAGCTAACTTTGCTGGGGTCAGTTCAAAATGTACTGGAGTTTGACTCTTTTTTAATAAAATTTCCGGACTGGGATTGTAACCTGGTCTATATTGGACAAGAAACTGTTGACATTTCTGTAAGTCCTTTGAAAGAAATGATCGTTTAATATCACATCTTAAACCGTAACTTATGTTGACATAGACCCCATGATATGTTTCATACAATACCCGATTTGATTTCGGTTTCAGTGGGATTTCAAAAGGGATCTCTGTTACTCCTGATGGCAGTCTATCAGATCCTTTGACTTCACATGTGGTATTAATTAACTGAATCGGCTGGAGAACAAAATATTTATGTAGTTCATACTTTACATCGACAAAATTTTTACCTTGACGGAATTATAAAATGCTTCTATTATTCCCACATTTTTTGAGCTTACTTGTAAATTCACTATACCTTCCATTGTTAACGTTATTCCTTCATGTTTAAAGTCAGAATTCGAGGATATGGAGATAACACCAGATACATTTTCCTAAAAATTGCACGTCATTAATATATTACAGTTTCTTTAGATGACTGGTAGTACATTTTCATGGTATATTTTATCCGCCCGTTTTAATTTAATATCTAAACTTATTGACATTCTGTAAGGTACAGTATAAACTTTCTAACCATAACCTATATGACATTTCACGTTTGACAAGCAAAAAACAAAATAAACAACTGATTAACAACACGTTGATCTACTGGTCAAGCGAACTAATTGTAATACAATTTAATAATTAAAAAAAAGGTTATTTGTAATTAAGATATGTTGATAAATATAATAAGGCAAATATTTTTGCTGTAGCATTTCTAAAACTATTGAATTTCTATATATCGCAGGTAGAATTTTTCACAGGCAGATCCTAATCACGATACACACACTATAGTAGATCAAACGTATCAGATGTCCTGTCTATAATTTTATTTGTAAATATAAGGAAAGTAACGATATTATTAGTTATAGTTATGAATAAAAAGATTAGTTTTGGGAAAATAAGTTCTAATTTCGGACAAAATGCCGAAAAAATCGAGCCCACAGGAACGATAGGAGTGTTTGGTCCACCAAAAGCCATAGAAGCTGTTGAAGATGATACAGAAGCACAAGAGATGAAACAGGTCATGGGTATATCATCATTTGGTAAGAAAGCAAAAACCTTCGACATAAAAGAGATGATAGCACAAGTAAAAGCCACAGCTAAAGAAGTTACTAAAAAACCGGAAGAAGATGATTTCCAAGAAAGTGAAGACGACGATGATGAAGACGATTTCATTGGACCTCCTATCCCTAAAGATTTAATTCCCGATGATGAGAGTAATACTGTTAAGAAGAAAGTGAAGGAAAGCGATAGTGACAGTGAGGCCAGTGAAGAAGACACCATTGATGAATTATTTATACCTTGTTCTCATGAAGCCCAGATGACACACGGTTCCAAAGCGGTTACAGCAATCAGTGTGGATCCTAGTGGTGCTCGTCTTGCATCAGGTATAAATAAACTTTGTTTTATTATTCAGAAATTGAAATTAAGTGTTTTGAATTTCAGGTTCGGTAGATTACGATGTCAGTTTCTGGGATTTTGCCGGTATGGACTCAAATATGCGAAGTTTTCGGACGTTGCAACCAGCAGATAATCATCCTATTCGAGGGCTCCACTATTCCAGCACTGGAGATTTACTATTAGTAATATCGGGAGCAAGCCAAGCGAAGGTTATAGATAGGGACGGTTTTGAAAAATTGGAAACCGTCAAAGGGGATATGTACATTACCGATCAGGCGAGAACTAAAGGCCATACAGCAGGTTTACTAGCAGGATGTTGGAATCCTGTGATAAAAGAAGAATTCTTAACAACCAGCGCCGACGGGACGGTAAGAACCTGGGATTTTTACGAAGGAGGTAAAAATCACAAGCAAATTATTAAATGCAGGGCACAGAACGGTTTGAAGGTATCGCCCAGTTGCGTTAACTATAACAGGGAAGGAAAAGTAATTTCTTGTGGTTGTGCAGACGGATCGCTGCAGTTGTGGGATTTTAGAAAGAGTTCGGTGGCCCCTGCCATGCAAATCCGAAAGGCTCATCAACCTGGAGAAGTGACAAGCATATGTTTTTCTCACGTGGGTCACAATTTGCTCACAAGGAGCTGCGACGAAACGATGAAACTGTGGGATATAAGAAATTTCAAACAATCTGTAAACGAAGTAACTGATCTCTTTACTAGATACGACACCACGGATGCCATTTTCAGCCCTAATGATGCTGTCGTGGCTACCGGAGTTTCCCTTAAAAAAGGTTAGTTACTTGAACTATTATCAAATTTATAGTAGAAGCTTCATTACATTGTATTATCTTTCAGGTGAGAAAATGGGAATTGTGCTTTTTTACGACACGGCAAACTTCAAACTTATCCGGAAGATGCAGGTCGCCCAGTCCCACACGATCAAGCTATTTTGGCATACAAAATTGAACCAGATCTTCGTCGGTACGGGAAACGGCCTGATCAAGTGCTACTATGACGAGAAACGTAGCCTGAGAGGTGCTACGTTGTGCGCCGTGAAGGTGCACAGGAAAGCCCAACATTCCGAAGTAGTCAGCATGCAGCAGGTCATTACCCCGCACGCCTTACCTCTGTTCAGGCAGGAGAGGCGGAAGACGAGCCGGAAACAGATGGAGAAGGATAGGTTGGACCCCGTAAAATCGCACAGGCCGGATCTACCAATTACCTCGGGGCAAGGAGGTAGAGTCGCTTCAAGCGGGGGCACTCTCAGCAGTTACGTCATTAGGAACTTGGGCTTGAGTAAGAGAGTGGACGACGATCAGGATCCGAGGGAGGCCATCCTCAAATACGCAAAGGAAGCGGAAGAGAACCCTTATTGGATCACTCCGGCTTACAGCAAAACGCAGCCGCAGGCGTGTACGAGCAAATTAAATGAAAACGACGAACCGGAAGCGAAAAAAACCAAAACAGAGTGATACTTTTAATAAACGTGCAAATAGTCTGTCTGAATTCGTTTTATTGAACCAAATAAAGTTGAAGAATAAATAATTGGGTTTTATAGACATTGGGGAAATTTAAAATTTGCAGGGCGTTAGTTTTCACCGATTAGAGTACAAATTGTTTGCTATTTTTAATGTGAACGCTCTCGGGGCTGGAGACGAGAAAAGTTGGACATTTTTAACACCCAAAACAAGGTAAGAACACTTTATTATTTTTTAATAGAATAAAAATATGTTTTATATACAGGGCGTAACTTTGAATGGGGGCCATATTTTTTTGGAGGCTACTTTTGACCTGTAGAAACACGAATCATAAGTTTATTTTCACAAATTCCGTTGTTAAAACTTAATTTTTTTTTTGTAATTATATGCTGCAATTGGGCGGTAGTTTAACTGAACAGTGGAGGCTAACCTTCATAAGAGGATTGGGTTCTGCTTAAATTTAAACTGTGCTCAGTTTAATTTGGTTAGTTTCATTTACTTTTCATTAATTTAATATGTCTAGCACCGATGGGCTTCAGCGGCTGAATAAGAAAACAAGGGTAGAAAAATACCGTGTTTTGTTTAGAATCTTAAAACTTTTTAATAGTAACTTTCCTAAATGCGTTATAGTTATACAACGAACTGTTATAGTTCACCTAAACTTGGTCAGTGTCATATGTCAGTGACATTGAGATTCATTAATTAAATACGGACACTGCAGAAACTTGAAACAATATTAAAAAATAATTTCATTTACAAATAGTAACGTATCGTTTAAGAAATGTTATTTTTTAAAAATAAAATGTTTTTTTAATGTTCATTGACATTGATGAAAAAAAAATATGGTGACTATAAAATAACCCCGACTTATTAAAATTATTTTCCATTACAGTACTGTAACAGTTGATATAAAAAGGTAACAACTGGCAACACTGATGCTGATATCACTTACCAGGCTAATTCCGTGTTTCCCAGAACAATAATTACAGTGTCATTTAAAAAACTAATTATAACTCAATTATTTGATAAGAAAAGAGAATTTCAGATTGGTATAAAAAGTTAATAGAAAACCAAACTGCTTTTATTACATCAAATCTTCCACCCTGTATAAATCCGTGCTAAATTTCCCACAAAAAGTCAACAATTCATAAACTTATGAAACACAAACAATAGTCGACCCTCTTGAATTAAAGTAGGGTCTACATATAAAGATTGTATATATATCCTCTTAAATATATTTTTAAAATACACAAAGAATTCTAACAGATATAAGAAATATATTCATTTTGCAATAAATAAAATTTTACATTTTTATTTAGTACCGTACAGGAATGAATCAAGTATCCTAATAAAAACCGCGAGTTGCGGCCACATTTAAAACCTCTTTCATTCACTGTACACCCACCAGTCCTTCTCGTACCCCTCGTGTACGTGATCTAACAATGCCATCCTCCTCCCGTCACAGTAACGGTATTTGTCCTGCACCTTTTGTTTAATATCTATGAGGTTCTCCTGGGTGATGTCCCGCTCCAGGTATTCGCTCAGGAGTTCCGTCGCCCTCTCCAAATCCTTTTGGTTATCTTCGAATATCACAGACTGGTTATTTTTTTTTAAATAATACGCAAACACATACGTGTACATCAGCGTTTGGCGGCACTGGCACAATATGTCCACTGCCTTCTTCAAAAACTGTACTTCGATCCAGCTCATATTGTGCTGCTGCATTTCCTCCATTTTATCCTTGACAGACGCATACAGCTTGTGTTCGAATTTCAAGGACTGCATGTGGTTCATGTAGCGGTTACAGTAGAAAAGGTATCGTTGCAGGGCCGCCCTCGATTTTTCCTGGGCGTCCCTCGCCGCTTTGGCTTCGTCCTCGTCGTATCTGTTACAGTTGTACCACGAACTGCCGTGTGGCTCCCATGGACCCAAACAGACCCAGCAGAAGTCAGCCTTGCAGTTCTGGTTCTTGCAAACCATGTGATTACATCCGCCGTCCTTCTCTATGGTGGCATTGCATTTGGGACACTCTTTCGTATTGGCTGCTATCCAGTTCGACGTTTCCGAGTCGTCGTCGCACTTTTTCTGCCATTTCTTAAGGAGGGCGCACTTGACGGGATCATGCCAATTCTCGCCGCAGGCAAAACAGAATACATGGCTGCAACGGCACGCTACCGGTTTGGGTTCCACGTAGGAAACCTGAAAATCCAAAAATCAATCAATCAAACAAATTTCAAAGTATCCATGAATACATACTTTTATAGCGTAACTACAGTCCGGACTAGGGCACCACCTCAGCAGCCGGTTGCACTCAACAAAACTATTGGTGATGAGGTGTTGATATTTTAGCTTGACCCTGGGATCTTTTAACAAACGCATAGCAGTCTGATCGTCCACGAGGATGGGACAATTGTGGGCAGCACATGCTATTGTCTGCCCGACCCCCTCTTCCATAACCTTCGTCGTCAGGTATTCATTCCAGCACTGATAGCAAAACCTATGACCGCATTCCAAGCCAGTCATTTGTGCCGGTGGGAAAACCATGAAGCAAATGTCGCACTCTTCGGTACCCAACACTTTCAGAGATAACTTTGGCTTAACTACATTAACTTTCTTAAAGGGGTTAATAACGTGTGCTTCTCGGAATAACTCATCTTGGTTTCCATCGAAAAATTTCTCCATTAATTTCTCCTTGTCCCAGTTGAAATAGTTTAGCAATATCCTAGTTGTAGTAGAGGGTATTTGAACGACCGTATTAACTTCTTTAATACAGTCGATCATGTGCTGAACTATATCATCGGTAGATAGTACTTCATATTGATATTCTTCATCGTAACACTGGAGTTCTCTGTGGCTATTGTCCACTTCTATGGCGAAATCAACATCGTCGCCGCTAGTCTCGTTACCAGAATCGTCGTAAAGGGTATCATCGTCGACGTTCATTGTCTTATATCAATCCAACATTTAAATGTTGCCCTGCAAGTAAGCGAGATATTTCAGAACTATGACACTGTCTGATTTAGACAAATTATATTAAACGCCAAATTGTTTTGTTTTCATTTCCACCACTCACATCTCACATGTTTGCAAAAAATCAGCTGTCACTTTTCATGACACATACAGGCGCGTTCGTTTCAACTACTCACATTAATCGTAACATCGAATGTGAAAGTAACGAAAAAGGGTCAGTAAAATGTATACTAGCACAAATTATAAAACCTCCGAATATGTCATAAATATTGAATAAACTATTAATTTTTGTTATAATCGTTAAAAAACATTCAGGTTATGATTACAAACTTTTCATTAATAATTAAACTTTAATTAATTCTTTCATCTATGTTAAAATATCCTGTTTTGTAATTGACAATATTGACATGACTTTTTCAATTTGCTCTGAAATTTTGAAGTTTAATAGAAAATTATAGTATACACCACAAAGTATTACACCAGATTTTTTTATTTACTCGGAACCTTTTTGTGATTTCTACACGTACCCTTTTTCCATCTAAACTATAACCAACCAATCACAAGAAGAATATCTACCGCCAAAATCCTATCAAAACCAAAATAATATCGAAACTAGTGATGGGCATAATCGACCAATTTTGATAATCGAGTTATCGGTAATCGAGTACTTCTATTAATCGAGTGATCACTCGAGATACGAGATATTGGTCGTTTTCATCCCAGCGCGACGCACAAATATGTTTGTATTAGTCATATATTACTTATAAGCGTAGCTAAAAAAAAAAAAAAAGCTCACGCTCTTCAAAACCTAACCACTTTTTCGTTTTATTCTAAAAAAAAGGTTACGCAATCAGTGACTATTTGCAGTATGCACTAACATTTTGGGTGCAACCGTAGGGTAAAAATCACTCGAGTGGTGGGAGTAAACATCTCGAGATATCTCTAGTGATCTCAATAATCGAGTACCACTCGATTTTTCACTCGAAATCTCCCATCACTAATCGAAACGTCAAACATAACCTAACACCTAATGTAAATTGCGAACATTTTGATAGGAAAAATAAAAGATAAATTATGTCCTATATTTTCAACTGTGATAAAAATAAATCTGGAAATGATTTTGCTCATTTTCGAAAAATATTTACACCAAAATACAAAGAACCGGAAGATGTTTCTGTAATATATATTGGAAAACATATTTACCACAGACATGTTATAATAGAAGAAATTGATGTAGTTATAAGAATTGTGCAAACAGAATGGTACCAATTACAAAGTGTGATTTTATATGAGAATATTTTATCATTTTCGGAATTAATTTATTCTAGAGAAGTATTGAATGGCACATTTCTTGCTATTTCAGAATCGCTTCAGCTATGCAACTGCTCCCAACAAAAATCGAGGTATATAGAAAGCGTTAAGAAAGCATTAGATAATTTCACAGGCTGTGTGGTGCCAATAACAAAATTTCCAGATGAAATGTTAGCAAAAATATCCACCTCAGCTACCAACGATGCAAAATGTCCCATATATCAGTATTTCCATTCATTTCTAGATGTGCAGTATCATCTACTTGTCCTCTATTATGTGTGTGGTGCACCCGAAGATAAACTTGAAAACAGGATAACGTCGGTAATGAAAGATATAATAACAGTAATTAAGAAGAATTATAGAAGGCAAAGTATACAAAATCGACAACCTTTTTTATGTAGTTGCATAAAAGAGAGTTGGTTGGTATTGCAAGTCTTTACTGAAAAAATTGGTAGTGATAAAAATTGGTTTTGGAAGATATTCAACAGTGTGTTGGAAAATGAGGATTCTATATTTACATTGTGGTTGCTGAAATATATATCTAGTTTACAGTTAGATAACACTGTGTGCTTAGATGAAGATAAAAGAAATGATAGAGTCGTGCCTAATTACAGTCTATTGGAAAGTAAACTGAAAATTATACTGTCAAGTGCAGGATCAGATACCTTTCTGGAATGTTTTAGAATTATCGAACCACTTCTTTGTGACCTTTGGTTGACTAAAGGCAGAATCGAAGTTTTTCAAATTATATGGGACCACTACAGCAAACGCTTGAATATCTCTAAAAAGAAACCAACACAAAAGGCTTTGCAGTTGAACGAAATAATAGACTCCTTACTCTCCTCACCGAAAGAATGCAATGACGATTTCGAGATATTTGTAGGGATGCTCATCTTACATTTAAGAGCACATCCCACACACTGGGGCAAAATAAAGGGACGTATTTATTCCCAGTTAGGTCCGAACAAAGTTAAGGATCTTAACGAAACTGGTGTTACGCATGTCATGGTTATTTTCCTGTCTTTAGCTAGCGTTAACTTCAACGAGCTGTCCAAAAAAATAATTTCAGTTTTGGAGAATTTACCTATGGAAAAACGCAATACGCATCATGTTTGGAATATTTACGCGATATTTGTAAGTATATAATGCAACTGCTTCAACAAGAATGTGACCGAGTTTAATGAGAGAGCATCGGGGTCAAAATATTGCTATTGAGTCAAGCTTGTCTTAGTAAAGCTTTGTGCGTACAAATTTTGACAGAATTCTATTGTAGATTGAAAAGGGGTTTATATTTCGATCCGAAGAATCTCTGATTAAGTTGTGTCCCATTTTTAACAAAACATCTCGTATAAATCAGAAATCTATTTTTAGATGATCAGACATGTACTAGAGGGTCGTGACCTTGAAGGAGCTGCCCCCTTCATGCTACAACTGCTGCGCGATGCTGTGAACGATCAAAAAACGTTGCGCCTTGTTAGAGATTTTATAGAAAACTTTGGGCACATAATAAATCATAGTACAAATTACCAGTTACATCAGTGGCTACTGATAGACACTTGGCTACCAAATTATATGGCTATATGTTACCACTCTGACCTAAAAGCAGCCCTTGACGTATTGCTCTGTACTTTAGACAAAGTCAGCAATCCAGATTCGTGGTCCTCGTGGGAACCCGCATTTAGAGATTACGTCTATCCCAGTATGAGGCAGATAAGTACCCCGTCGGCTCCGGATACGGTGGGAAAAATTGCAGGAAAACTATGCCTCCTAATGCCTAATATAACGAACGAAGCCTTTAATTTTTTTAATAGTGAAACGATACCTCCCAGAATCTCTTGTCAGTTCCTCGACAAAGTCTTAGCTGACTTTCCCAACAGTTTTATTCTGACGCCATCTCAAGAGCTCGTGGTACTGCAATCGTGGATGAAGATCTGTCTATTAACCACCGATTTATATGAAAATTTAACTTTAAACGTTTTGAAGTTGGATTGCTTCCCTGCAACACTGAAAACGCATATCGGCACGTCTCAGGACCCCGTCTATGCCTTCATCGAATACCTCGGTAGCGACATTAAACAACATCTCCACTCGAATAGCATGATTAAACTTTGCGAGACTTGTTTTGGGCAAATCGACAAGTGGCTTGGGCAGTACCTGACGCAACCCGACGATGAAACTTTGGTCTTTCGCGTGTATACTTGTATATCCTTAGCGTTTCTACATTGTGGACCCTTGCTGTATGATCGTAACAAAAGCACGTCTCCTTTGACCAAGTTAGTGCAAGTTCTCTTGTTACCAACGGACTTTCTGATAGGGAAGAGGGTCCCGCATAATTTCGTCTTGAACGCGGTGAAGAAAACATGGCATATTTTCTTCGAAGCAATTGTGAAATTGAACAGCGACATAGACACGTTTCTAGAGAGAACGCTCCGGGATATGGTTCTGAAATATATGCAGTACTTCTCTACGGCTGACTCGCCAATAATCAGGTGCTTGGAGAATACCTCAACAGCTCCGATACTCCTGGATAAAATATCTAATTCTTATTTCAGACATCCCGTGAAAGAGTCGGATGCAAACACTTTAAAAGTCTTAAAGATCCTTAGCGATTTCGTTCAAAGTACCACGTCTTTGCCGCTGATGAGACTGATTATAAATAAGTGCCTTTATGGATTGTTCGAAATCGTTATTTTTCACGCGCAAAGGAATGTAGCGCTGAGCCTGATCAAGGTGCTGACTTGTTCTCCCCTGTATCCCCAAGTGAGGGAGGATTTCGGAAAGTCAATTATCACCGTTACAGAGAAACATCTAGCGTTCAACACGATCAACTATTTTCAGTTGATGTACGTCCTGGCGAAGTTTATTCCAGCTGATGTGAAGAATTTGCTGGGAAATATAAAGCAAAACGTTTCCAATGTGGAGAGAATGAGGGGCGTCGGTTTCGATAAGAACCTGAGAACACATTTCGAAAAGTTGGAGGCTGCAGTGGAAATCCCCAAGTGATTTATTTTTAAAATATATTTTTAATTAAATATAAATGAAAAATTAGAAATACACAAAAAAGCTTTATTTAATTTACGAAAAATAACACATCGATATAACTAAAACTTAAATTTATTAAACAGGTTTATAGTCCAACTTGCTCTCCAGTTTCTTGTTATCTGCAACCTTTCTAACGGCCTTCATAAAATCTTCCTGTATAACGTACTCCCTCTCAGATCGTATCGCGAACAGTCCAGCTTCTGTGCAGACATTCCTAGAAACCATATTTTTTAAATAAAATCCGTTTCAACGGAACTTTGTTATCGTTTACCTCAAATCTGCTCCGTTGAAAGTGTCGGAAAGTTTCACGATGGCCTCGTAATCGATTTCACCGTGCTTAGCGATCGGCAAAGCGTGGATTTTAAGAATTTCAAGTCTGGCCTGCTCATTAGGAAGTGGAATTTCGATCTTACGATCCAAACGGCCCGGACGGAGGAGGGCGGGGTCCAGGGTGTCTGGCCTGTTTGTAGCCATTATCATTTTGACCTGTAAAAGTATTTTCGTTCAATATTGGAGTTCAAAAACTGTAAAATTCTTTATGACCTGTCCTAAAGAATCGAAACCGTCCATCTGATTCAGCAGTTCCATCAACGTACGCTGGATTTCTCTGTCAGCGGAAGTGCCCTCGGAAAATCGACGACCACCTGACAACAATAGTTATACATAAAACCGTGTTATAAAAATATCACCAATATTTACCGATGGCATCAATTTCATCCATAAAAATGATGCAGGGCTGGTGGTCTTTGGCATAATTAAACATCTCTCTAATAAGCCTGGCCGATTCTCCTATATATTTGTCTACGATAGCACTGGAAACGACTTTCAGGAAGTTCGCGTCTAACTGAGAGGCTACGGCTCTTGCCAAAAGTGTTTTGCCTGTTCCCGGAGGTCCATACAGTAAACATCCTTAAGAAAATAAATTTAAGTCATACAGTGATTTGGCGATATTTCATAAAAGGAAGGTTATAAACTTGTAAATACCTTTGGGTGGCGTAATGCCAACACGCATGAACAACTCAGGATTAAGCAGAGGGAGTTCGATAACCTCTCTTAGTTCTCTGATCTGTTCCGATAAACCGCCGATAGCGGAATAAGTTACGTCTCCTGGATCTTCGTGACTCATATTATACACGAGAGGATCCACTTCCCTGGGCAAGTACCGCATGATAGTTAAAGTAGTCATGTCGAGAGCCACTCTTGTACCAGCCTTTAATTTAGATTTGTCCAACTGGCGGCGGCAGCCCACAACGTAACGAGGCCCATTTGTTGCTTTAACAATAACTGTAAATAGGAATATTTAATAATAAATTGAATTAAGCAGATGCTTAAAGAATCTTACACTTTTCTTCTGTTAGCTGTTTTAATACTTCTCCTACGATCTGACCCATGCTCTGCAAGGCTTTTAAATCATTTTCGGATTTATCATACTGTTTTGTCAGATCCTTTAGCTGTTCTCGCACTGAAAAAATAAAAACAAACATTTTCCTGTTTATAAAACAAAAAAGAACAACTTACTTTCTTTCAAACGCGATTCTACTTCCTTGTGTTCCAATAGTTTCTTTCGATATTCTTGAAGGCCCTTTTCTCTTTCAGAATCCATTTGAGTCATATTGTTCTTTATTTATTCAAAGTTATATCCACTTTTTAGACGAAATCACAATTCGTTACAAGCTGCAATGACTGGCACATTGACATCCACAATTGACAGTATTTTTGTGACAACTTCAAAATTCCGAAATGTCATTTTATAAAAAAGGGAGGGCCAACTTAAATTTATATACAGTGTCTGAATAATTATGTTTTTTGTTCGTGAATTATGAATATATTTAATTAACGCTACATCACCTCTATTAACTACATCTATCAAGCAATCATCTATTAATTTATGAAAGCAATTTCTCTAAGATTTAATAATTCCACTGTCCTCATAAACTACAACCCACTGAACATCGAAGATTATATTTACTTTTAATATAGTTAGTCAAGGTCACGTATCTAGTCTCCCTAGTCATGAGATTACAGAGATCGCCGACTCAGGATTCAGTTCCTAGCGGGCAGCCGGCCAGAGCACACGTGTTTTGTGATAGTGTAGTGCAAGGAGCAAATTCTACCTGCCTTTATTAAGGCTACCTGGAAAGAATCCGTTTCTTTCCTTTTAATCACCGACCTAATCCCCGGCTTAAGCATAGACGCCGTCGGCATCTTTGTT